CCCGCGGGCAGCGGACAGGGTTATCCGCTGCCCACGCGCTCCGCGGCTTGGCTCTGCTTTTTCAGCCGCTGTTGAAACTGATCAGTTTCAGCAGCGGCTGAATCTGGACGCCAGTTCCGACTTACGTACAGATTCAACTTAAGAACAAACCTACAGTCCCTATCTTGTACGTAACCCGGGGACTGCCTGTACTTGAGATAAAGATCTTGGAGTCATTGTGGATAGTCTCTGAAAATATCCACTCAGTTGGCAGTGGTAGTCAAAAAAACACACAGAATATTTGGAATTATTAAAAAACGGATAGAGAATAAGGCAGAACATTGTATTGCCTCTATTTAAAACCATGGTACATCCACATCTTGATTACTGCATACAGATGTTGTCGCCTAATCTCAAAAAAGATATATTGGCATTGGAAAAGATTCAGAAAAGGGCAACAAAAATTATCAGGGTTTGGAACGGGTCCTATATGAAGAGAAATTAAAAGGACTTGGCGTTTTAATCTTACAAAAGAGAAGACTAAGGGGGTATATGATAGAGGTCTATAAAATCTTGACTGATGTGGAAAAGGTAAATAAGGAAAAGTTATTTACTTGTTCCCACAAAATAAGAACATGGGGTCACAAATTAAATTAATAGGCAGCAGGTTTAAAACAATCAAAAGTAAGTATTTCTTCAGTCAACCTGTGGAACTCCTTGTCTGAGGATGTGGTGAAGGCTAGGCCTTTAACAGGGTTCAAAAAAGAGCTAGATAGATTCATGGAGGTTAGGTCCATCAATAGCTGTTAGCCAGGATGGGTAGGAAGGGTGTCCCTAGCCTCTGTTTGTCTGGAAATGGATGACACTAATTAAAATGGAAATATACCAGTTTAATTTGCCTCCCTCTTCTATCTATTATATTGTTGTTTGTATGATTGCTTAATAAATGCATAAATGATGATTACCTGTTGTGTTCCCTCTCTGAGGCATCTGGCATTGGCCACTGTTGGCAGACAGGATACTGCGCTAGATGGACCTTTGGTCTGATCCAGTAGAGCCGTTTTTATGTTTGTTGAAATTCACTTTACTGCTAAAAAAAAGTAGGGTTGTCAAGCAATTGAGAAATTGTAATTGCATGATTTTAAAAACTATGCAGCTGATTGCACTTTTAATCACACTAAATGCTCTTTTAATTGTCTTGTGCGCCAATATTATACCATTTATTGAAATATTTTTGGCATTTTCTATTTTCTCAAATATAGGGTTCGGGAGAGGCATGGGGCTTCAGCCCTATGTCATTGCCTTCACCCTGCCCACAATTGGCATGCAATTGATATGCAATTGACATGTTGCTTGTGCTCTGGTCAACATTATCCTTTTGGTTTGTGTGAAGATTTAAAGTAGCCCTTGTCTAAAGAAGCCCTTAATAGGTTGGCTTCAGGTTAGCTTCAGAAACTGCTTCTCTCTAATGTTGGTCATGGCAGTTCTGGTCAGCCAAGGGTTTTAAATTATCAATCCTCTAGTTTAAACAAGAGGGCTTGCTGCAAGGTGCTCTTGGGACTGAGATGCTTGATTCAAACATACTTTCTCTTGTCCTTGCACGTGTTTGGTCTGCCAGCTGAGGTTTGTTGACTAAGTCTCTCTTAACTATTATGATTGGAGTGTGAGTGGGATAAGTGAGAGAGCATTTTCTTAGTAGTTTGGGAGGGATTGTGGATATTGGTCCAGTATGACTTCATGGATAACTTCCTTTCACATAATGTACAGGAGCCTCAAACTTGGAAATCATGGGTTTTAATGAAACTGGAAGTCTTGCTTCTATACCATAACATAATAAGCATCTATACAATTAAAGCTAAAAAGTACCTGAAAATAGGCCGCTTACACAATGTTGTCTGTAGAAATGTTGATGGGGATTTATTTTCACATCTCTACAATAATATTGGGGCATCTCCGATACATTATTGGCAAGTGAGATGTAGTAATCTAGAGGGAGGTATTCATCTACTGGATAGCTAGTGTAGTCTCTGTCTATAGTATATGACCATCATAGGTCATTGTGACTTGCCTTTCACTTGAAATTTATAGCTTACATTTATTTTCAGGCATACTAATCTGGATGGACTAGCAACTGAAAGTATGAACAATTGTTTTTCTTGTGCAGGGGACAGGATTTCTTTGGCTTCCCTCAGGGCTGAAACTTTTTGCAGTGTTTTACACCATAGGAAATATTTCTGCATTAGTCAGGTATGCATTATTTTCCTAATTACTACTAAGTTCTGCTATTTTAGAATCTGAAATTCTAGCTGCCAGATTGTGTTTAACATTGAATATTTAAATGTGAAGAACAATACTGTTGGTAATTTCAGGTTATATGTATTTTGAACTTCAGATTTTCATGATATTTGTACACTAATTAAAATGGAAATACACAAGTTACTTATTTGTCTCTCTCTTCTACCCAGTTGTATTGTTGTTCATATGATTGTTTCATAAATGCATCCTGATTTTGCTTTAAGTAAAAGCTTTATCTGGCATGACTGGGGAATGGAGAGGTGTTGGTTTGCCAAATATTCTGCTGCAGGAGAAGTAGAGGGCTCCAGCCAGTGGTGCACGCTCTTGTGTGAGGCCCGAGGATGCGGGGTTTGAGATGCAGGAGGGGGCTAGGGCACAGGAAGGGTTTTGGGTGCCAACTCTGGGCAGGGCTCACCTTGGGCAGCTCCCTGTAAGTAGTGTGTTGCTACTGCTCCTTCGTAGAGTTGTGGCTAGGCACCTCTGCGTGTTGCCTTTGCAGGCACCGTACCTGCAGCTCCTGTTGGCCGCAGCTCCTGTTGGCCGCAGTTCCTGGCCATTGGAACTGCAGAACCAAGGGTGGACATAGAAACCTTGTGACTGTTCCTCTGTGTAAGAGTAGCAAGGACATATCACTGCTTCTGGGGAGTCATGGAGAGATAGGGAGGAAGCTTGCCAGCCAGTGTTCCCTCAAAGGCTTTTCCATCCATGAGCAGAATGAGTTTTGTCTTGTGCGCCAATATTGAGATGATGTGCGCTTGTTTGGATGTGTGCCACTGTAGTGCCCAAGTTTGTAACAAATATCTTATATGTTTTTAAATGTTATGGACAAAAGAATATTAAAACAAGGGATAATTAACAAGGTGAATGACTTTAGATGTTTATTTACTATGAAGTCAAATGAAGGAAAAAATACTGCAAAACTTTCTGTAGCCAACTTCCTCTGTTTATAGCACTCTCCCAGACCATCCCTCAGCTGGGGTTACGCTTCAGTTAAATCTGGGTCTCCTTTCAGCAAGACAAAACTCACTACGCTCATGGATTGGAAGTCTTAGAGGGAACACTGTTCCCCTGCAGCATTCTTTTAAGTGAATTAGGAAAATATCTAGGGTCTAGCTCTAGTGGACCCAGAGGGGCCCTGATAACCATGTTCAAATACGTTAAAACTGTTAGAGGGGATGAGGATCAATTTTTTTCCACATATACTGAAGGTAGGACAAGTCATGTCCCCAATCTGCAGCAAGGCAGACTTGATGACCTCGCAATATCCCTTCAAGACCTACAGTTCTAAGATTTTGGACATTTAAAGCAACAGGTGTATTAAAGAAAATGTTCACATAGCGATGCTAGATTAAATACAACTTAAATTAACTACTCATGGTTTTTTACTTTTGAGGTATCGCTTTAATAGCCATCCAAGAATTATTGTAATAAGGAGTGATTATAACCTATCATCTTTAAGAGTATTAAATTAACCCATATGGATATCTGGCTCAACCTTCAAATGATAAATCATCAACCCATGCCCCTCTGTGTAACCCCTCCCTCCTCCCATCCTGCCCCTGCAATCTCCTTCACCTCCCTCCTGTGTCCCCAGTGCATATATCGGCATGGTAGCAATGTTGGGACTCCCAGCCCGCTGGGAGTATCTCTGGGGCGAGGAGATGCGGGGTGGGGACAGAGTCTCTTCCCTATCTGTCCCAGTCCTTTGCCTGCAGGGTGGGAATGGGGCGGCCAGAACTCGGGGCTGGCTCCAGCCTGCAGTGAGCAGTGTGGCACAGCCTGGGCCCTGGATCTGCAGAGCAGGCCCAACCTCACCTCCTCCCAAAGGAGGAAGCTTGTATCGCAGGGGGAGGAGTGTTACCCTTTAGCTTCCTGGAACTTCACACCCAGATTGTAGCCCCAGGAATGCTTGTGCCTCACCTGCCCTGCCTTCCCCAACAGCTCTGGCCCCCAGAGCAGCCTCATTCAACCATGTGGCCTCATTGGCCAGGCTGCGTGGCTGCCACAGAGCAGGAACTGGGGGCCGTGTTGAGACTGCGCCAGCAGGGACAGCCTCACCGCAGCTGAGCCAGAACACACCACTCACTTTCCAGCAGGAAAGCGAGTGGTAAGTGCTGCTTTGCAAAGGAAGTGGGCAGGCACAGAATTTTTTGTGCATGGCAGTGCAGGTGTGCACTTTAGAGGGAACACTGCTTCCAGCCCAATCTCAGTAATTAATCACTAATGTAGACATCTGAGTATAGGCATCTTATGATAGGAAGTGTCCTGTTTTTCATTTAAAAAAAAAAAAAAAAAAAAAAAGCTAGTCCAGTTTCCCTTATCCACTGGTCCCCTTGTCTCCAACACATTACATCATTTGCTTGCTACATGATTAGTAAAAGAGTAGTCCAGTAGTTGACTACCCGATAAGCCTAGGCTTATCAGGCAGTCAAGTTGATGACTAGCATTCATTCCTTCTTCTCCCACTGCCTCTATACCTATATCAGAGGCAGCAAGGAGTGCAGAGAGGTTTGTGGGGAGAGGAAGCAGGAGCTGGCTTAAAAGTTGGTTCCCCCCAGCACAGTCTTCTCTGTAGTTTGGAGAAGGCTGCAGGGAACCCAGTGCA